AGTGCAAGATGTGTTTTGTTTTTCTCACATTTTGATTTCTTGTTTTATTTTCTTCCAGATTTAGACTTAATATGGCTACTGTATTGATCCTTAGACTTAATATGGCTATTGTATTGATCCATAAGTTTGAATTAGCAGGCAGTTTGGGGGTTGATATCTGTTAAAGATCATTATGCACAATGTACACATTTTCAAAGCATACCATTTGTATGCTAAAGGTTTCAACGTTTATATTTTTGATATTTAGTTATGTTCTTGTCCTATGGTCGAAAATAGTCAAACATGCGAAGTAACCAAGATAGTTATACATTGATGATGATGTTCCTTTTTAATGAATACTTACACTCAATTTGGTACCTTTTATTACAGAATTATGGCAGCTGATTTTCTTCACGAATTTTAGTAATGTTCAAGTCCTATGGTCCAAGGCAGTCAAACATGGAAAGTAACAAAGATAGTTATACATTGATGTTGATGTTCCTTTTTAATGATTACTGCAGAATTATAGAGATGTCAGTCAACTAAGACCTGCTTAAATACATTGATTGTCTTTTATTTATTATTTCCACTTCAAACATCAAAAGCTAAAATGAACTTAATACCAACAAAATTATGGATAAAGCTATTCTGTATAGCCACTCATTCATGGGCGTGAGGTACACATCCTTCCTGTTGAAGGGCCTTATGTGACAGACCTTGACTTTTTTGTCAATGCTTAAAATGAACTTAATCCACAAACCATGTCTTCAATAGTTCATAAAGAAGAGACAAACAGCAGTAGATAACACAAAAATAAAAAGGAAGAACATGAGACAAACAGCAGTAAAGTTTTTGCTATCTATGTCATGGTTGATTTATTTTTTGGCAAAAAAACATTAAACCATGTACTGCCATGCCACACAAAAAGAACCATGTACCCCCATGCCTATAGTTGTTGAACCAAATACATAAAGAACACCATATGAAATCAATTTCATGAACTTGACTTCTGAGAACTATTTTTGGGTGGAAGGGCTGGCCATTTACATACCTCTGTGTTTTCTTATACATAGTGCTATCTTTTTATTGGAGCTGTTTTTAATGAAGAACAACTGCTCTTGACAGAAGATGTCAATACTTTATTTACCCACAAAAATCAAAAGGAAACAGACCCAAAACTGTTTTTTTTGATGAAGAAACAAATGTGTGTGTGTATATAAGATGAAATCGAAACAGAAATGAAATCATCAGATATTCAAAACTCAATTGCAAATAAGATGAAATGGAAACATACCCAAAAATGAGTTCCAAAAATGAAATCAAAACCAGTTACAACAAAGAGATGTAAAAGAGAATTCTTACAACAAAGAAAGTTATAAGCTCAGCAGAAGTGGTTGCAGAAATCAAAATTGAAATAGGCATACAAAAAAGAAGAGCATACCTCCAAATTATAGGGTTTTGAAGAACCTGTGAAATTAAACCAACAGGGAGGAGGGAGCTATATGTATCAATGAGGTTGTGATACATCAAATCACTTTGATACATGAAATCGGTTCTCTGATCGAGGTGATACATCCATACCACCATTGTTATGTCCCGTGAAGAAGAAAAGGCTCTGTTTTCTAACCAAAAATGTTTTTTGTTTTGTGGTCGTAGAGAAAGGATAAGAAGAAGAGGAAAGTTGTTGCTGTCGTGGTCGCAGAG